AACCTATAGAGCGGTAAAGTTTGTACGGTGGTTGAGGAGCTACAATCTTTTAAAGATCGTGCTTTGTTTTTAATCTCCCAAAACCACCCGCGCTCGTTTTTTTTCAATGAGCGCTGTGGCTAATGCTGCGCCTTATCTCGTTGGAAGCGGCTTTCAAAAAGCTTTCCAACAAGACCTCTTTTGCCGAATTTCACCTAGCGGGTGAAAAGTTATTGGCAAAAGAGATTCTGCCCTCTACCTCTCCTTTCTTGACCCGTGACCATTTCCAAAAGTGCCAAGTGGCAGGTTGCTGAGGATTTTTTTGAAGACCCCCCTGGCTAGGGGGCTGCACTACAGTGGAACTGGGTGGCTGATCAAGATCTCAACCAACCGCTGATAATGTGCAGCAGCAGTTCATCACCACCTTGAAGATCCCTCCTCCCAAGGGGTGTGTGAAGGCGAAGATGTTGTGGATCTTGGTGAATTTTTATGCTCTTGGTTACCCTAGAGTTGGGTATCACCTCTCTCATCATTAATCCACTCTCCCACTCCCTTGTCCCTCTCTCCCCTTCATCATCTGACCTTCTTTTTCTCTCACCATCACTCATCCATCACCTTTTCTCACTCCTCTCTCCACTTTTCTCATTTCTCTCCTCTTCTCCCCACTAATCTCTCATCCCCTTCACTCTTTCTCCATCCACTACCATATTTTTACTCTCTTCTCTCCCAACCTCACTCTCCTTGCTTCTTTTCCCTACTTCTCTCCTCTCCTTCCCATTAATCTCTCATACCCCTCCCTCTTCACTCATCTCCCACCATGTTTTTCTCTCCTCTCTCTCCACTCACCTTCTTTTACTAACCTCTCCCTCTTTTCTTTACCTTTTTAATAGCTTTCTCTTTCATTCTCTCACCCTGCTCTCCTCCTTTCTTCCCCCAACTACAACCCCATCATCCCCCTCACGTACCACTTCAATTTTTTTTCTTTCCCACTTATTTCTTTTTTTTTCATCACTTTTTCATCCCCGCCCGCCCCCCAACTTCGATTTTTTATGTTTTTCTTCTTTTCTCTTTCTCTTTGATTTCAATCTTCTTTTTTTGCCTAAAAATTCGAATTATTTTATTCCCTACTTGTTTTCTCATCTTTCTGATTTATTTTATTTTCCTTTATTTATTCTGAAAATTTGAAATTTTTTTGCTAAAATCTGATTAGGACTTAGTCATTCTTGCTTTCAACATAGATTTTGACCCCGTGGGAGTAACGAAGTGTTACCGGAAATTTCTGTTTTCTTCATACTTAGTCTTTTTCAGCACATTTTGACCCCTTGGGGGTAGCGAAGTGCTGGCAAAATCTTATTATTTTTCTTAGTCTTTCTTCTTCACGGCACATTTCGACCTCATGGGGGTAACGAAAGGCTGCCGAAATTTTTGAAAAATTCAAAACTTAGTTAGTTTCTCTTCACTCTCCTTCGCCTCCTTATTTATTTATTTACTTATTTTTTTGAAATTTTTAATTTGCGGCATTGTAAAAATTAGTGTGCTTCTCCTAGTCTCTCCTTTCTCTTTGCACATTTTGACCCCGTTGCGGTAAGAAAATGCTGCCGAAATTTTCAAAAAAATAAATAAATAAGTTATTTTCCCTCTTACCTAGCCATTCCGGGACAGTTGCCTGCGGCCGTTGCTTCCTCGTCTGCTAGGACATCCGCTAGCGGCCACGGCCCACAGCCTTCCTCCACCTCTGCCCCTGCAGCGGCCGCGACTTACGCCGCCGCAGTGCTCTCGCCTCGAGCTCTTTCCCCCCGCCATCAGCACAGTGGACATCCTCCTATGMGCACCACGGACATTCCCGAGTATGATGGCACATCCCGTGTCTCTCGCTGGTTGCAGATAGCAACGCGCACACTCTCTATGTTAACCACCCGTCAGGAGTTGTGGTGCGATGTGCTCACAACCAAATTGCGAGGTAGCCCTTCCACTGTGTGGGAGGATCATTATACCCAGCGTCTCCGCGTGGGTGAGGTCCCCACTCTGGCCGACTTCGTGGCCTTCCTTCAGGACCGCTTCGGCGCTCGTCATGACGCCACCGACGCCCTAGACCGCATCACCCAGACCAGATGGTCAGGGCCCTCTGTACCGGCCGACCTGGAGCGTCACATCCGAGTGTTTCAGGAGGCTCGCCTTGTCTGTTACGAGACGTTCCTACCGGAGGTCACACTCACCGACCAGTTCCTTGTCAGCCTGCCGACTGACTACCGCCTAGAGCTATGGAGGCGATCATTCTCTTCCGCGGAACAGACATACGTGGTTGCGCGTCAGTACCAGAGGATGCGCAGTCGCTTCTCCGTCGCTCCATCCTCTTCGCGGCCAGCCGCCACCTCCCAGTCTCGTGGTACCACCAGAGGCCACTCCTCGTTAGCTGGTCGTTTTCGTCGCCCGGCTCGACTTGGAGCGCCATTCTCTTGGCACTACAGTTCTCTCGAGTATGGAGAGGATGCCTCAGCCGAGCTCGACCCTACCGTTGGCGACACCCACGAGGACATCGAGCTTCGGGACGTTATCTAGTATCACTTGGATGACGACACTGTCCTAGTGGCTGAGCGCCTGCAGATGGCCATGTCTGCCATGGGTCGTGCGCGTAGTCGGGTGGCACAGGCTGGCACCCTCGCACCCACCGTTCCCCAGATAGACCTCCCGCAGGGTTTCGTCCCTCCTCGCGGAGCTCTATCTCCTGAGGAGCGTGCCGCCCTCGAGGCCCGCTGCGGCTGGCTTCGTTGCAGCCTGGATGGACACACCTCCTCACGGTGTCCATACCATACCGCCCTCGATCGGCACTAGGCTGATATCTCTCGTCAGCGTCGATCTCAGTCCACCCCCGGCCCCGCCCGGCCAGCCCCACCCACCTAGCCATGGTGCAGTGTGCCCCTAAGGCCTCGCACGTAGCTGCGTTCCCGACCACCGAGTCGCGGTTTGCCCCTTTGGCTACCCCACCAGAGGATCCTCAGGGCATGACAGACGCAGTTCTCTCTGCCCCGTCGTCTGTCAAGGTATCGTCTGCCTCTTAGCAGACCGCCGCATCTAGCGCTTCTCCCCCGAGACTTCCGACGCGTCGTGCCATTCGCACAACCCGTTGTAGCGCTCAGCTGGCGACTCACGATGATGTTGTGTCATCTATCCTGGACTTGAGCATTCTGCAGGCTCGTCAGGAGCGACTCACGAGACACATCAACGTCTTGCGTCGTCTTCTCGCTTTGCTCTCTGACCCTGATCGCACCCTACCCACCATCCCTATTCGCCTAGGGACATCTACGAGGGTGTACCATGCTTTATGGGACTTTGGCTCGTAGGGAGATTTCGTTCACCCTCGAGTGGTTGAGGAAGCTCGCCTAGCTACCTCTGGGTCTCGCTCTCCTATCTCCGTTACCCTCAGAGATAACAAGACGCAGCGCTTCTTCGATCAGACGGTCCCCGACCTCCACTTCTCCCTCACCCTCTAGTCATCGGATAGTATCTAGACGCCTAGGCGCTACCATTCCTCCGCTTACTTCGACGTGCTGGAGACTGGGTACGACTTTATCCTTGGCACTCCCTGGTGTCGCCGGTTCCGTGGCACAGAGGCCGAATGGGCGACCGAGACACTCGTTCTCAAAACGAAGTGTGGTCAGACTCATCACATCCCGTTCATTGGAACCACGGGCGACACCCCGCCCGACCTACCTCCCCAGGACCCTTGTCCCTCAGGGTCCCACCCCGACATCGCGTTCACTTCCCCTTGTCAGTTTGCTCACTTCATACGACAGGAGGACGTCACGTTCTACTCAGTGAACGTCATGGATCTTCTTCGCTATGATCCACTCTGTCCCGAGGTTGAGCTCATCTCTCTGGAGCCTGATTCCCCCTTACCCTCCACCCATTTTCGCGGCTCCCATATCTACATCCACTCGTTAGCCTGCGGATACCCCCAGGCCCCTGCGCCGTCGACTGTCGAGTCCACACATACGTCTCGTGCAAACACCGCGACCTGATTCGACAGTACCGCGACGTCTTCCACCCGTATTTCTCATACAGCGGGATTCCCCCGATGCGCGGTGTTGAGCATTCTATCCAGCTCGTGACTGACTATCGTGTTCACCATCAGGCACCGTACCGACTTTCGATTCCAGAGGCGACGGAACTCAAGCGTCAGCTTGAGGAGCTCCTTCGACTGGGTTTCATTAAACCGAGTAACTCCCCTTGGGGTGCACTTGTCCTCTTTGCTCGCAAAGCGGACGGAACACTCCGCATCTACATCGACTATCGCGGCCTTAACCGTTACACGGTTAAGAACAGCTATCCCATGCCCCGCGCGGATAAACTGTTTGACCGTCTGGTAGATAACCGCTTCTTCACGAAGATCGATTTTCGTAGCGGTTACCACCAGATCCACGTTGTCGCAGAGGACCAGCCGAAGACCGCCTTCCAGTCGCATTTCGGCCATTACGAGTTCACGGTGATGCCATTCGGCCTCACCAATGCACTCGCCACCTTCCAGACGGCGACGAACGATATCTTCAGGGACATCCTTGACGAATACGTTCTCGTATACCTGGACGACATCTTGGTYTACAGTYGTACCTTAGAAGACCATATCAGACACCTCCGCGATGTCCTACAATGCTTACGCAAGCATGACTTCTATGCCAAGCTCAGTAAGTGCCGCTTTGCCTAGCGCAAAGTGGACTTCCTAGGACACCATGTGTCTGACCAGGGTCTCCACATGGACGACGCGAAGATCACTGCTATTGCAGAGTGGCCGTCCCAACATCTGCCAAGCAGCTTCGCAGTTTCATAGGCCTCACCAGCTACTATAGTAATTTCATTCAGGGATACGCTAGGTATTCCTACGTCCTTACCTCCACCCTCCTCCGGAAGAACCCGCCGTGGTTTTGGACACCCCTCTGCGAGGACGCCTTCCGCACCCTCAAGAAGGCGGTGACTTGTGCGCTGGTTCTTTGTCTCCCTGATTTTGATCGCCCCTTCATCGTCACCACCGATGCGTCAGATTTTGCAGTAGGAGCAGTACTTTCCCAGGTGTTTTTCTCTCCTCCTGATTCACCTTATCAACACGTTTCTCCCTTCCCCCCCCTTCCTGCTTGACACTGCTTCTCGACTGATGCCTATCCTACCACCACTTCCCTCCACTGACAGTCCTCCCATTACTTCCTCCCCGACCATCGCGGAAGATGGGACTGTCGAGGCTCGTGCTGGGGATTGCCCGATCGCCTTCTACTCCCGTCAGCTACTGGCTGCCGAGATAAACTACACTGCCGATGAATGTGAGGTTCTCGCAGTAGTTTATGCTACTCGGCATTGGCGTCATTATCTGCACGGGGCGCCCTTCACGGTGTGCACGGACAACTCAGTTGTCCACACTTTCCTCACGAAGTGCAAGCTCTCCCCTCGACAGGCATACTGGTGTCGTGACTTATCCGAGTTCAGTTTCACCACTCAGCCCATCAAGGGTGAAACGAACGGCGTCGCCGATGCCTTGTCCCACCATCCTGATCACAATCAGGAACCCATCCATCTTGCTGCCATCTCCATCACCACTGTTGATCAGTCGGTGATCGACGGATATCGCACCCAGTACCGTCACTGCCCGGATTATCGCGTCATCCACGCGACCCTGCGGAGTGGCAAGACCGTTCCCTCATACTCCCTCGGTGAGAACGGTCTCGTGTACTGGCATGGCAGATCTGGTAAGCTAGAACCACGTATCTGCGTTTCCTCCACCGGACAACTCCGTGTCCAGGCTGTAGCAGAGTTCCATGACCAGGCAGGTGCCGGTCATATGGGCTTCCACAAGACGTTGGCTCGTGTTTGCCGCCTATACGTCTGGCCGAAGTCTAAGGACATCATCAAAGCCGACATCCAGGAGTGTGCTACCTGCCAGGAGGTGAACATTGCGAACCACCTTCCGTATGGGTTATTTCAGTTCCTACCCATACCTGAGGGTCGTTGGCAGTCCATCTCGATGGATTTCATTGGTCCCCTCCGCCCACCCACTGAGCACGGTCATGATGCTATCTTGGTCGTCGTCGATGGCTTCACGAAGCGTGCACGTTTCATCTCGTGCCGCTATCGTATTAGCGCTTGTGAGGTCGCCAACATCATCTTCGACCGAGTTGTGAGAGATCACGGCTTACCTCAGAGCATCATATCCGATCGTGACCCGCGCTTTACCATTACATTCTGGCGACGCCTACACGAGGTGTACGGATCCCTGCTCTGCTTCTCATCGTCTTACCACTCTTAGACGGATGGTCAGACTGAGGTCACCAATAAAACTCTCGGTAATATCCTCCGAAAGTTTGTTAGGGATGACCAGCAGTGAGACTTACACTTAGCCCACGCRGAGATTGCGTACAACCACGCTATTTSGCYAGCCACGGGGAKGTCGYYATTCYATTGCGACCTYGACTACCACCCTCRCGTACCCGCRGATTTCCTACGACCATCGCGGTTGCGCCCRGACACTCGTTGCCYTGCGCTTGACGACTRRATTGCCCACATGGMGRYGATTATGAAGCGCGCAMACGAGAGTYTARCYGACTCCCAGACTCGCATGGTCGCACGAGCKAACSGATCACGAATGGATCATCCATTYAAAGTCGGTGACGATGTGCWYGTCGACGCACGYYACTTACAGCTCGAAGCAWATACGCTTCGCAAGTTCAGRCRTCGTTTCTTCRGTYYATGCCGCATCCTTYAKRCCGTCGGTTYTGATACTGCCGYTASTCCGGTCAGCTTCCGTGTGAAGCTASCTGATTACCTTCGACAGGCTCGCRTACACGATGTTTAYCAYRTCTCCTTGCTGCGTCCTTATCGTAGAYCRTCYGAGCGCTTTGCCGGACGCCCTTAYGAGCGCCCTCCACCTATGATGGTGGACGGTAACTAGGAGTTCGTTGTTTCCGACATCGTATCACGCCGAGTTACCGACGATACCCCTCCACGCATCGAGTACCTTGTGCGTTGGAAGGGCTACCCTGATGAGGAGGCTACTTGGGAGCCCCTTGAGCACTTGAAACACGCCAGGATGTTGGTGCGTGCATATGATCGTACTCGTCGTGCTGAGATATCTGCCTCTGCTCAGCCGACTGACCCTCTTCCTCCTCCTCCGGCTGAGGAGATTGCTGAGGACGATCCCGCTCCCTCTGAGGCCGTTCCTCAGCCGCAGACGGTCGCCTCCGAGCGTCCACAGCGCACTCATCGTCTTCCTTCACGTTACAGTAATTGACACTCTTATCCTCTATCTTTCCCCACTGACTCACACCATCAGGTACTCCATCATCAGCTCTTCTTCAGGATGTCAGCGTTTTGTGGCTCTGCTTCGACATCGGCTCGACTGCTACTTCATCGACGTCATCGACCACTTCGACGACTTCAGCTACCTTATCGGCTTCAGCTACTTTGGACGCGACTACTTCACGTCAGCACCCTACCCTGTATACTCCCTTGCCTCTGTCGCATGATGGTTCTCATTTAGTTGGGTCTCTTTGAGTTGGGCTCTCCCTTGGTATCGCATAGGTATTGGGACCGTAGTGTTATCTTGCCTTCCTTGCTCCCAAATCTAGCTCCCTCTCCCAGTCGGTGAGTTGTGTGCATGTTTCCCTCACCCACTGACCTCATCACTGTTACACCGGCCATTGCATGCCTTCAGTTAGGCATATCTCCTTATTCCAGGCTCCCCCTTTTCATGGTCGACCCTGCATGGTGTCACCCTTGTCGAGCATTACCCGCCTTGATGGTCTATCTGTTACGGTCATTGGTTTTGTTCGCTACAAGTCCTCTACCTCGAGCCTGATGACCTATCCCACCTTTTTGTGTGACTGGCATTAGGAGTTTCGATTCTTAGGCTGCATTCACCCCCCTCTGAGACCATCCCACTCTTAGTGGTTTAGAGACACGACATGACCTTGTGACATATTGCTCTCTTTTCCTTTCGGTACTGAGGCAGTTGCCTCTGGGACTCTAGGATTGTACCACACTACATTTCATTTTCTGCTATTAGCCAGGATGTGTATATCTGACATTTGCTTTTCTATATGACATTATGTAGCTTAGGTTGCATCGCATGCACTTCGCATGGAGCTTGCCCCGCATCCTATATTTCTCAGCTTTCTTTGTTGCAGAGTTCCGCTGCTTTAGCGAATAGCGTGTTTATGACTCTTGCGATCCACGACAGGTCGAAAGATCGTGCAGCGGGCCTCTATCTGCCCTGGCCTACAACCAGGGCCTATCTGGCCATTTTCCCTGTTCGGCCTGTGGGACCAGGCCGTGGCATGATCCCACAAGCCGTGTGGTTATTCAGTCCAGACCAGTCCTGCCCGGTACCACTGTCAGTACCAAGCCAGTCCAGTCCAGTCAAGTCAGTCCGCTAGGGGTATACCCCAGCTGCAGTCTGTTTTGTGGCTCATTCTTCATTTGCACAGATTGGAGTACGTGCGTGTTGAGTCTGCGTTGGAGCTGCGCTGTCCCTTCCAKCTCCATCTCCATCTCCCCCATCCTCATCCCTTCGTCTTGATCTTGACGGACCGCCATCTTGGCGGGCCCGTCACATTGGTATCAGAGAACGCTTTCCTCCCTAATCCTCTCCCCCACCCACCCCACCTATCAGTCGCCAAGCGGCTTGAGCAAAAAAAAAAAAAAACGCTCGCCACTTTTTTTTGGTAATGACACCGGTGAACTCGTTCGATCGTAACTTCTGCACCGCTGGTCCAAATGTATTGATCGTTAGCTTGTTGGAAGTCTCTCGACGAGCCGCTTCCAACAAACTATAGATAGCTAAATTCGGTATGGTGGTTGAGGAGCTACAATCTTTCAAAGATCGGGCTTTGTTTTGAAGCTCCCAAAACCACCCGCGCTCGTTTTGTTTCGACGAGTGCTATTACTGCAGGCAGTGGCTGATGCTGCGCCTTATCTCGTTGGAAGCGGCTTTAAAAAAACTTTCCAACAAGACCTCTTTTACTAAATTTCACGCAGCAGGTGAAAAGTTATTGGCAAAAGAGTGGTTGCCCTCTACCTCTCTTCTCTTGACCCGTGGCCATCTCCAAAAGTGCCACGTGGCAGCTTGCTGAGGACTGTTTTGAAGACCCCCCTGGCAAGGGGGCTGCACTACAGTGGGACTGGGTGACTGATCAAGATCTCAGCAAACACCAGATAATGTGCAACAGCAGTTCATCACCACCTTGAAGACCCCTTCTCCCAAGGGGTGTGTGAAGGCCAAGATCTTGTGGATCTTGGTGAATTTTTATGCTCTTGGTTACCCAAGAGCTGGGTATCACCTCTCTCATCACTAATCCACTATCCCACTCCCTTTTCCCTCTCTCCCCTTCATCATCTGACCTTCTTTCTCTCTCACCACCACTCATCCATCACCTTTTCTCATTTCTCCCCTCTCCACATTTCCCATTTCTCTCCTCTTCTCCCCACTAATCTCTCATCCCCTTCACTCTTTCTCCATCCACTACCATATTTTTACTCTCTTCTCTCCCAACCTCACTTTCCTTGCTTCTTTTCCCTACTTCTCTCCTCTCCTTCCCATTAATCTCTCATACCCCTCCCTCTTCACTCATCTCCCACCATCTTTTTCTCCCCTCTCTTTCCACTCACCTACTTTTACTAACCTCTCCCTCTTTTCTTTACCTTTTCCATAGTTTTCTCTCTCATTCTCTCACCCTCCTCTCCTCCTTTCTTCCCCCAACTACAACCCCATCATCCTCCTTACCTACCACTTCAATCTTTTCTCTTTCCCACCTATTTTTCTTTTTTTTCATCACTTTGTCATCCCCCCCCCCCCCACTTAGATTTTTTCTGTTTTTCTTCTTTTCTCTTTCTCTTTGATTTCAATCTTCTTTTTTTGCCAAAAAATTCGAATTATTTTATTCCCTACTTTTTTTCTCATCTTTCTGATTTATTTTATTTTTCTTTATTTATTCTTAAAATTTGAATTTTTTTGCGGCACCCTAAAATCTGATTAGGACTTAGCCATTCTTGCTTTCGGCACACATTTTGCCCCCGTGGGGGTAACGAAGTGCTGCCAAAATCTTCTGTTTTCTTCATACTTAGTCTTTTTCAGCACATGTTGACCCCTTGGGGGTAGCGAAGTGCTGGCAAAATCTTATTATTTTTCTTACTCTTTCTTCTTCACGACACACTTCGACCGCATGGGGGTAACGAAAGCTGCCAAAATTTGTGAAAAATCCAAAACTTAGTTAGTTTGTCTTCACTCTCCTCCGCCTCCTTATTTATTTATTTATTTACTTATTTTTCTTAAAATTTTAATTTACGGCATTGTTAAAATTATTGTGCTTCTCCTAGTCTTTCCTTTCTCTTTGCACATTTTGACCCCGTTGGGGTAAGAAAATGCTGTCGAAATTTTCAAAAAAAAAAAAAAAAAAGTTCTCTTTCCTCGCTCTTTACATTTTATTTATTTATTTATTTTATTTTCTTCTTTTATTTTATCTTTATCTCAAAAATTTCATTGTTTATTCTATTTGCTCTCCCCCTCCCCTCCATATTATCTTTTTTTCTTGATTAGGTCGCCGCTACCCTCCCCTAACCACCTAAACTCCGGTTAGGGTTGTCTTAGGGTTTTGTAGGGTTTACGGTTCTCCTACCCCCCCCCCACCCCCTCCTACGCTCCCGCCTCCTCCCATCGGGCACCCTGGACCTGGACGGATCCTCCCCCTTCGAGAGGTTCGGCGCCTTCGTTTCACGCGCGACCCGCAAAATATGAGGCGAGCCGACTCACACATACTCACTCCGCTCCCGAGGTCCCCTTCCTCTTACCGGTGGGCCCCTTTCCCCACATACTCCTTTGAGGACTACCTCCATTCCCCTTCCGGCCATGGAAGGGAGTTCATCGGAAGAGATCGCCGCGGCGTAGTCCACACCCCAGGTCAGCTCGTCGGCGGCGGCTCATGATCAGGCTCATGCGGACACTATGGACCTTCATGCAGTTCTTGTAGCAATCCAGGCGTAACTTAGTACGCTTGGACCATTGCAAGCGCAAATCAATGCGCTTGCCCTTGACGTCAACCGCCTCAAGGGCTCTCCCCATCGCTCTCCCCTCCACTCTCACACCCCATCCCCTGCCAGCTCACCGGCCGGTTCCCCACGACTCCGGCGACACAGACGTGGTGGTTCTTCCTCCCCTGTGGCTCAGGTCCAACACTCCCACTCAGCAGTGGTGAGTGCTGCTGCTGCTCAAACCACCCCGTCTGTTGCGGCACCTTCTTTGGCACCTGCCGCCCCTATCGTCTCTACTGTTGCCGCAGGTGCTGTGGTCCAGATACCAC